CCCCGCTGTCTGCATAATCACCACAGAGGGGGCCGGGCTCTTCTAGCCCCGGGGACACCCCCGTCACTGTGACCAGCCCAGATGCCCCAGCCCCACCCGGGATAGTCCCCACGGCTCGGTCTGCCCTTTTTGGTCGGGGGTTGGGGGGGAGCATTTTAATTGCCCCTCCTCCGAGACCTGCCTCCCCGAGTGGGCGGGGGCGGTTAGCACGGCCTGTTCCCGAGACGAAGTCAGGAAGCGATAGGGGCCGGGGGCTGCAAAGTCACGTCCGGCCCAGTGGACCTCCCCAGACCAGATAACCACGAGTGGTGAGCTTCCTCCCTGCAGATCAGTCCTTGGGGAGGAGGAGGGTGGCCCCAGTGACGCCCACTCAGCGCGGTCTCCTAGTTCTCATTGAATGCTCTTTTTTAACCCTGAAGTTAGGGGAACTCGTTTTATGGATGAGGACACTGAGGCTCAGAGGGGTAGGCTGGTGGCCAAGGCCCAAGCCTCTGATGCAGCGCCCCACCTGGGTCTGGCACAGAATAAGGGAGAAAGGGATACCGGAGGCTGCCCCGTGGCCAGGCGCAGGAGGGTTAACATCCTACTAGGTGCTTTTCAAACTGCAGAGGAGGGACCTGGCTGGGATCAGCGGGAAATCCTGCCCCCTGCTGCTGCCGGATGGGCAGGGACACCAGGCCTGAGTGGTAGCCACAGTGCCTGGCGGGGCATTGGGGGGGAGCACCACCAATAGCCAAAGCTCACATCTTTGATAAAGTTCCTACTGTGTGCCAGGCCTGCTCTGTGCCCTTGACCTGAGAGAACTGGCGAGTCACCTCTATGAAGAACATTCTTATGCCTAAACTGGGGCAGTCAGGAGAGCAGCTGATGGAGCTGGGATTTGAACATGACTATTATGGGAATACCCTCATTCAAGGATCAGGGGCATCTGTTGAGTACCTACTGTGAGCTGGGTCCTTGAGAACTTTCAAAAGGTGGTTTCTCACCTCAATGTCCTAGATGCTCTGGTGGTGTGAGCCCTGCTATATCCCTCCCCACCCCAGAGTGAGGAAGGCAAGTGACTAGTAATAGTCATAGCTGATACTGACATGGCACCTACCGTGTGCTGGGTTTCTTTTGGCACTGGAAACAACCACAGAACAGCAGGGAACCAAACAGCCAGCTCTCAGGGCTTGCAGACAGGCAGGAAGGCAGCCCCTGGGCTGGGGCAGGGATGAGGTGTGTGCAGAAGAGAGAGGTGGAGCCAAGTGAGGGAGGGAGGCCAGGAGTGTGTGGGTGTTGGGGTGCTGGGGCTGCAACTTAAAACCAGTGACCAGGGGGCTGGCCCATGGCTCACTTGGGAGAGCGTGGTGCTGACACCACCAAGTCAAGGGTTGGAATCCCCCTTCCCCCTCATCTTTTTTTTTTTTTTTTTTTTTTAAAGATGACAGGTAAGGGGATCTTAACCCTTGACTTGGTGTTGTCAGCACCACGCTCACCCAGTGAGCCAACCGGCCATCCCTATGTGGGATCCGAACCCGTGGCCTTGGTGTTATCAGCACCGCACTCTCCCGAGTGAGCCACGGGCCGGCCCCTACCCGTCATCTTTTTAAAAAATAAAAATAAAAAATAAAATAAAATCAGTGACCAGGGAAGGAGGTGAGGGAGAAAGCCTCGTAGATATCTGGGGGGAAAGTGTCAGGCAGAGGAAAGTGCAAAGGCCCTGAGGCAGGCAAGTGCCTGGTGTGTTCAAGAAGGGTGGGGAGACTCCTGAGGCTAGAGGAGGAAGGTAGGGAGAGAGACAAGCACAGAGAGATCAGGGTAGATTACGCAGGGCTTTGTGGGCCTTGCCTCTTCTGAGAGACATGGGAGCTATGGAGGGATTCAGACCAGAGGAGGCTGACTTAGTCTTAACAGGTTCCCTGTGGCTGCTGTGGTGGGTAGGGGCAGAAGCCAGAGCCCCAGAGGAAACCAGGTGGTGGTAGTGGGGTAGTGAGAGGGCGTTGGATTCTGGCTGTAGTTTGTAGGGAGAACCGATGGGAGGTGCTAGGGAGTTGGCTGTGAGTGTGGGGAGAGAGCCAAGGATGACCCACAAGTTTGGGGCTGAGCACTGGAAGGATGGAGCTGCTAATACCTGGAGAGGGGAGGACAGCTAGAGAAGGGGGATGGGGTGCAGGTTTTGAGGGGGAGGTAGAATCAGGGTGTGGATACTAAATAATCCTTAAAGTAACCTGATAAACTGATACTTTTGTGTGTTCTCATTTTATAATTTGGGGAAACTGAGGCCAGAGAGAGTGAGGAATGTGTGTGGTCAGCAGCTGTGCAGGAGTTTGTTTTGGTTATTTTGGTGGCTGGCCAGTGCAGGGACTCAAACCTTTGACCTTGGGGTTATAAGGTGGTGCTATAACCAACTGAGCTAACCAGCTAGGCTGTGCAGGAATTTGACCCCTGCTTGTATCTATCTTGCTGCACTTTCGGGCTCTGGACGTAGGAGGGTCAGACTGAATCCAGGCCTAGCTGTTGGTCATTGGGTGGGAGGGTTAAGTTCCCTGAGCCTCAGTTGCACCATCTGTAGAATGGGTCAATAGTAGTAGTCTCATCATAGAATTGTGAAAAATAATACATTACTAAGTGCAGTCCAGGTGCTGGGGTGTATGTCCACTACTCCTCTGGGAGGAGGGGGTGACAAAGGAATTCATTCCTCCCTCTCCAGTCCCATGAGCTGTGGCCTGTTATTAGAGGCTTCTTCTACACCAGGGGCTCCAATATCTGATTCCAGGCAGGTGTGGTACAGACCTCACTGGTGCGGTCAGACCCCTGGCCCAAGGCAGGGAGGATCTCTGCCTTGACCTTCTCTGCTGTGTGGTGGCCCAGGGTCCATGGGGCCACCTCTAAGAAAGCCTTGTGGCCTCCCCTGTTCTTTGCAGGACTAAGGGAAGCTACAGAAACTGCTGGAGTGACAGGTTTGGGCTATGGATGTCTTGAGCCCATCCTCATAGACCCCCAGCGGTCACCTCTGTGTACAGAATGCTATGGCTTCCATACCACCTCCTTCTGGCCCTTAGCCAGTGGGCACATGGCCAAGTTTCTTGCACCCACTGCTGGGTGTCAGAGAACAGCCTGCTGAGCCTTGGTTGTAGCCAGAAGTCAGATGAGGGCCATGGAGTGTTTAAACAAAATCCTCATTGCTGGGAAGCTCCAGAAACCTCGGCACTGGTTGGGTTAATTCAGAGGCTAGACTGAGCCTATGAGCACAGCCAGGATGAGTGAGTGACTTGCAGGAGGTACTCTGTCCAGATTGTAAGTCCAACCACAAGGACTCCTGCTGGTCTGCTTCGCTCCTGGCTGGGACCGGTGATCCCGAGCTGCCTCCAGTGCCCTCGATGGGACAGAAGCAAAACTAGAAAGCCCAAGGGGTCCGCTTTTTACCTGTCTCAACCACGCTACGCCCACTGCTCACCCTGTGCCCAGCAACTCTGGCAGGAGTGGGGCAGGATGGGCCAGTGCGAGGGCCAGCTGTCAGCCCCAGCTGTCCTCAACCCCACAGCTGCTGCAGCTCTGGAGCCCATGCTCTTTCCCATGCAGCAGGGAGCCACTCCCTGCGTGCAGTCTTCTGTCTGCATGTGGGGCGTACATCAATCTCCCCAATGGCCCCACAACCTTTGCCAGGCCT